TCGGCTATCCAATTAAAAACGGGATTCCCTTGTGTATTAGCAAACAAACAATTAATATTTCATGCGATTAATATTTTAGTGATGACCTTAGCTCTGTCTACTTTCTTTTTCGGTTAATTTGCTATCTTTAACATAAATTTATTAAAAAAATGAATTCATCTACACATCCTATTTTCTCAATCCTTATTCGATTTCACGTTGGGCTTTGATAATAGCTCTAAGATTATGATTTCCTTTTTTTTAATGGGACATTTTTAAACAACTAGCTCCTGCACTTATGGTTTGAGCAAATGATCACAAACATTCTTCTTCTTAATGTCAAGCATTTTAATTTTTAACACATTCCTAGTCTCTATTCCATTCTAAATCATTGTTAAATCATTTCTACCTAGCCGACACTACTGGGATGTAGTTTGCGGCCAACCAATTGATTGTCTTATTATTTAGGATTTGTTCGTCTCATCAAGTGAATATATATATATATATATATATGTATATATGCATGCTTATCTACCCATTAATATTTTCACAAAAGTACACGTACATAAATCCTCCAGTTAATTTATTCAAACCGCTTTTAGTGCCTAATTCTTCTCAAATTAATACGCCAAGAGCTTTATTTGCATCATTTCACAATCTAGGATCACGAAGTCAGTTTGCCTGGAAGGGGCTCGCTTATCCTCTCCCTAGATTTACCCCACTTGGAAAACAACCTGGGCTCATCTTTCAGTCAGCTGCTCAGGGGGACAGCAGCAGCACATTAGCTGATATCCCAACCAGTCTCTTATTTACTTCTAATGCCAGCCAATTGCCATCTGCACTCACCAATCTAGGAGATGTCTGTTTAGATGCACCAGCAACTGTTAGTTGCAGCATAGGCAATCTGCTACCAGAAACTCGTCCGCATACATCTCTGTTCACTCGTCCATTGGACTCACTTGTCCGCTGCAGCCTAGACACACTCTCTTCTGACACTGGCTTTTCAGCCTTCTCATTGACTACCTCTGAATATCGGGCGTCTGGCGAACAAAATTTCGACTACCAGCTGCATCCGGACCTTACAGATGTGAAGAAGGAAGAGGATAAATCTACCGGGGACAAATTGGCGCTCCTCTGTCACACGGGTTCACCTTTTTGGCCAGTTAAAGAGACAAGCACTTTTACTCCGTCAACTCATACAGCACCCTTACCTCTGATAGGTGCAGATTGCGGTGGAGATGCTGGCTCATTCGCATCTCTTGGCCTGCCCATCATCAGTACTCGCCCTCTTCAAAATAGAGAACTTAGCTTTTCTCTTATTGGCTCGGCATTGCCAATTTCATTCTGGTTAAAGAAGAATGAACAAATCAATTGCACTGGTCGAAATAGCAGTAGCTCTATTAAACTGTCCGATGATTTGGTTGACTGGCTTTCACCTCGCCATCAAGATCTCCCGCCCCTTCTGACAAATGCAGTTACACCTTATTCATCAGATGGCCGGTGGAATGGGGCTCCTCTACATCGTACTCTCACTTCACCCCATCTAGGTTCTCATGTCTGGCAATATCCGGCCCTCTCTTTCGGTTTAACAGCACAATTGATCTGGAAACTGAAACAAAGAGGCACTTTCATTTGATTTATCTCTTCGAAGAAGCTTTTTGATGCTATATGTCGCGACGTTTATGTTTCCCCACTGTTTTGTTTTATTCAAAGCTTTTTCGTCTGTTTATATCGAGTTTTGTTCGCAGTTTTCGTTTTTTCCTCCACTTTTATGTTCGTTTTCC